TAAAAAAATTTGGGTTTTTAAATTTTTTTTGGAAAAAAATAAAGGGGGAAAAAAAAGGGGGGCTTATTTAAAAAAAAAAAAAAAAAAAAAAAAAAAAAAAGGGTTTTGGCCCCCAAAATTTTTACCCCTTTTTTGGCCAAATTTGGAAAAAAAAAAAAAAAAAAAAGGAAAAGGGGTTTTTAAAAACCCGAAAGGGAAAAATTTGGGAAAAAAAAGGGGGGTTTTAAAAAAAAAGGGGGGAAAAAAACCCCAAAAAAAATGGGCCCCAAATTTTAAAAAAAAAAAGGAAGGGGAAAGGGAAAAAAAGGGCCCCCAAAAAACCCTTTCCCCCCCCCCCCCCAAAAAAAACCCCGGGAAAAATTCCCCCAAACCCTTTTTTAAAAATTTTTGGGGGGGTTTAAACCGGGGGCCCCCCTTTTGGGGAAAAAAAAACCCCGGGGGCCTTTTTCCCAAAATTTGGGGGGTTTAAAAATTTTAAAAAGGGGAAATTTTAAAAAAATTTCCCCAAGGTTGGGAAAAAAAATTTTTTTTTAAAAAAGGGGTTTTTTCCCAAAATTTCCCCCCAAAATTTTTTTTTTAAAAAAAGAATGGAAAAAAAAAGAAAAAACCTTTTCCAAAAAAAAAAAACCCCCAAAAAAAAAAAAAATTAAAAAAAAACCAAAAAAGGGGAAAAAAGGGGGGAAATTAAAAAGGGGGGCCCCAAAAAAAAAAAAACCCTTTCACAAAAAACCAAAAAAAAAAAAAGAAAGGGGGGAAAAGAACCCCAAAAAAAAAAAAAACCCCCCCAAATTTTTGGGGGAAAAAGGGAAAAAAAAAATTAAAAAAGAAAAAAAATTTTTTTTTAAAAGGTTTTTTTAAAAAAAAAAAAACCCCTTTTAAACCCCAAAAAACCAAGAATTCAAGGGAAAAAAAAAAAGGGCCCCAAAAAATTTAAAAAGGGGTTTTAAAAAAAGTTAAGGGGGGGCCCCCCCCAAAAAAGGGGGTTTAAAAAACCCCAAAAACCCCGGGCCCCCCCTTTAAAAAAAAACCCCCCAGCCAAAAAACCCCCCTAAAAAGGGGTTTTCCCTTTAAAAAAAAAAAAAAGGCCCAAACCCAAAACCCCCCCCAAAGGGGGAAAAAAAAAAAAGGGGGTTAAAAGGGGGGCCCCCCCCTTTTGGGGGGGGAAAAAAAACCCCCCGAAAAAATTTTTGGCCCCCCCCGGGGGAAAAAAAATGGGGGGGTTTAAAAAAAAAAAAATTGGTTTTTTTTTTAAAGGAAAAACCCCCCTTTTTTAAAAAAAAAAAGAAAAAGGAAAAAAAAAAATTTTTTTTTTTTTTTTAAAAAAAGGGGGGAAAAAAAAAAAGGGGAAAAAAATTTTAAAAAACCCAATTTTTTGGGAAATTTTTTTTTAAAAATTAAAAAAAAAAAAAAAATTTAAAAAAAAAATTTTTGGCCTTTTTTTTTGGGTTTTTAAAAAACCCCTTTTTTTTATTTCCCAAAAAATTTTTTTAAAAAAAAAGAAAACCGGGAAAAAAAAAATTTTTAAAAAAAATTTTTTTGGAAAAAAAAGGGGGTTTTTTTTTTTGGGGGGAAAAATTTTTTTTTAAATTTCCTTTTTTTGGTTTATTTTAAATTTTTTTAAAAAAACCATTTAAAAAATTTTTTTTCCAAAAAATTTTTTTCCCCCAAAAAAAAAAAATTTCCCCAAAAAAAAAATTAAAAAAAAACCCCAAATTTGTTTTAAAAAAAAATTTGGGGGTTTTTTTTTTTTTTTTCCGGGCCTTTTTTTAAAAAAAATTTCCCAAATTTTCTCCTTTAAAACCCCCTGAAAAAAAAATTTTTTTTCCCGGTTTTTTCTAACCTTTTTAAAAAAAAAAACCGGGAAAAAAACCCCCAAAATTTAAAAAAACCAAAAAAATCCGGGTTTTTTTTTTTCCCTTTAAAAACCCCCCAAAAATTTTTTGGGGGCCCCCCAAAAAATTTTATTCCCCAAAATTTTTTGGGGGAAAAAGGGTTTTTTTTGGGGGGAAAAAAAAAAAAAAAAAATTTAAAAAAAATGAAAGGGGAAAAAACTTAAAGGGCCCCCTTTTTTAAAGTAAAATTTTTTCCCCAAAATTTTTCCCAAAAAAAAAACCCAAATTCCCCCCAAAAGGGCAAAAAAAAACCCCCCCCCCAAAAAAAATTCCCCCCCCCAAAAAAACCCAAAATTTTTTAAAAACCCCCATTTTTAAAAAAAAACCCCCCCCCCCAAAAATTTTTTTGGGAAAAAAAAAATTTTAAAAAAAAAAATTTTTAAAAAAAAAAAAGGGAAACCCCCCCCCGGGGGTTTTTTAAAAACCCCCCAATTCCAAAACCCCCCCAAAAAAAAAAGGGGTTTTTTTTTTTTTAAAAGGGGAAAAAAAAAAGGGGAAAAATTTTTTTTTTTAAAGAAAACAAAAGGGGGAAAAAATTTTTAAATTTTAAAAAATTTTAAAAAGGAAAAAAAAAAGGGGGGAAAAAAAAGGGGAAAAAAAAAAGGGAAAATTTTTTTAAAAAAAAAAAAAAAGGGGGTTTTTTAAAAAAAATTTAAAAATTTTTTTCGAAAAGGGGGGGTTTTGGGTTTTAAAAAAAAAGGGGGTTTTTGGGGGCAAAAAAAGGCAAAGGGGGGTTTTTTTTAAAAAAAAAAACCCCCCGGTTTTAAAGGGTTTTAAGGCCCGGGGGGGGGGGGGAAAAAAAAAAAGGGGGGGGTTTTTTTTTGGGTTTTAAAAAAATTTTAAATTTGGGGGGGAAAAAAGGGGGGATTAAAAAAGGGGGCCGGGCCCCCCCAAGGGTTTTTTTTTTAAAATTGGGGAAAAAACCCCAAAAACATTAAAAAAAAAAAGGAAAGGGGGGGGGGGGGTTTTTTTGGGGGGGGGAAAAAAGGGGTTTTTTGGGGGGGGGGCCCCCCCCCCTTTTTTTGTTTTGGGGGGAAAAAAAACCCAAAATTTTTTTTTGGGGGGGAAAAAAGGGGGGAAGGGTTTTGGGTTTTTTTCCCCCAAAATTTTGGGGGGGAAAAAAAAAAGGGGGGAAAAAATTTTTTCCTTTGGGAAAAACCCCCAAAACCGGGCCCCCCCGATGAAATTTTTAAAATTTTTTTTTTTTTGGGTTTTAAAAAAAAAAATAAAACCCCCAAAAAAAATTTTAAATTTTGGGAAAAAAAAAACCCAAATTTCCAATTTTTAAAAAAAAACCCCCCCGGGGTTTTTTAAAAAAAAAAATTTTTTTTTTTAAAAAAAAAGGGGGGGGGGGGTAAAGGCCTTGGGCCCTGCCGGGGAAAAAAAGGCCCGGGGGGGGAAAAAACGGGGCCCCGGGGGGCCCCCCGGGGTTTTTTTTTTAAAAATTTTTTTTGGGGGGGGGTTTTGGGGGGGGGGAGGGGGGCCCCCCCCCAAAGGGGAAAAAAAAGGGCCCAAATTAAAAAAAATTTTTTTAAGGGGGGGGGTTTTTTCCCTTTTTAAAAAAAAAAAAAGGGGGGGGAAAAATTTAAAAAAATTTTGGGGTTTTTTTAAAAAAAAATTCCCCCCCCGGGGGAAAAAAACAATTTAAAAAAAATTTTTTTTTTAAAAAAAAAAAATTCCTTTTTTTAAAAAAAAACCCCCCCTTTTTGGGGGCAAAAAATTTTTTTTGGGGGGGGGGGGGGGGAAGAAAAAAAACCCCCAAAACCCCGGAAAAAAAATTTTTTAAAAAAAAAACCCAAAATCCCCCCCTTTAAAAAAAAAAAGGGGTTTTTTTTAAAATTTTTTAAAAAAAAAAACCCCAAACCCTTTTTTTTGGGGGAAAAAATTTTTTTTTTTTAAAAAAAAAAATTTTTTTTTTTTTTGGGTTCCCCAAAAATTTTTTTTCCCTTTTTCCCCCCCAAAAAAAAAAAAAATTTTTAATTTTTTTTTTAAAAAGGGGGGCCCTTTAAAAAAAAAAAAATTTAAATTTTTTTTTTTAAAATTTTTTAATTTCTAATGGGGTTTTTGGGGTTTTTCAGTTGGGCCCCTTCCCCCAAATTTAAAAAAAAACCCAAATTGGGGGAAAAAAAAAAAAAAAAGGGGGGGGGTTTTTTTGGGGGGGAAAAAAAAAAAAAAAACCCCCCCCGGAATTTTGAAAAAAGGGCCCAAAAAATTTTGGGTTTTTTTTAAAAAATTTTTTTAAAAAAAAATTTTTTTCCCCCCCTTTTAAAAAAAAAAAAAAAGGTTTTGGGGGGGGGGCCTTTCCCCTTTTTTATTTAAAAAACCCCCCCCCAAAAAAAAAATTTTTCCCCAAAAAAACCTTTTTTAAATGGTTTGGGGGGGAAAAAAAAAAAAGGAAAAAAATTTTTTGGGGGGGGGAAAACCCCCCGGGGGGGGGGGTTTGGGGGGGCCCTTTCCCCTTCCTTTTTCCAAAAAAATTTTTTTTTTTTTGCCCCAAAAAAAAGGGTTTTTCCCTTTTTTTTCCCCCCCCTTTTTAAAGGGGCCCCCTTTAAAATTTTAAGGGGTTTTTGGGGGGCCCCCCCCCCCTTTTTTTTTTTAACCCCCGGGTTTTTGGGGAACCCCCGGGCCCCCCTTTTTTTTTTTTTTTGGGGGGCCCCCCCTTTTTTTTTTTCCCCGATTTTAAAAACCCCCAAAAAAATTTTTTGGGGGGGTTTGGGGCAACCTGTTTTTTAAAATTTTTTAAAAATTTTTGGGTTTAATTTTTTAAAAAAAAAAAAACCCTTTGGGTTTTTTTTTTTTTTAAAAAACCCCTTTTTCCCCAAATTTTTTTTGGGGGTTTTTTTTTGGAAATTTTTTTTCCCTTAAGTTTTTTTCGATTTCCCTTTTGGCCCACCAAATTTTTTTGGGGTTTTTTTTTTTGGGGGGGGGGGGGGCCCCGGGGGGGAAATTTAAAAAAAACCCTTTTTGGGGGGGGTTTTTAAAGGGGGGCCCCCCCCCCCAGGGAAATTTTTTTAAAAAAAAAGGTTCCAAAAAAAACCCCCCCTTTTTTTTTTTTAAAAAAATTTCCAAAAAAAAGGGGGGGTTTTGGGGCCCCCCTAAATGCAGTACATTACTGTTAGCCATGACACTTGGATTAGAGCTACGAAGATTGAAATCAACTTTAGCCTCTGAGTTCGCAATAAATTGATGCTCTCTACCAAAAGCACGGATGGTTGATGCTCCTGGAATAGGAACAATAACAATAAAGAAAAACATGTAGCAAGATACGAATTACAGAATACCACCATAAAAAAAATACATTTGCACACTTCATTTTTGTCACAATATGGTTTCTATAAAACAATAGCATCTGTTGTAGCTGCCGACTGCTATAGGAAGCAAAAGACAATGATTCTGTGTTTGTGACTGACTCATGTGACAATCAAATCCATGTCCATAATACCCTAAAGCTCCACCAGAGAACCTAAGATTCATGCAAACAGAAAAGGTAACAAAACAGTCGATAAGTTAACCCATAAACTGTGGCATACCTGCAAATAAAAATTCGTATCTATTTTTTTTTTGTGTGTGTGCGTGCGTGCGTGTACTCACCTAATTGTGGTTGCAGGGGTCGAGACTCAGCTCCTGGCCCCGCCTCTTCACTGAATGCTACTAGGCCCTCTCTCTCTCTCTCTCCCTGCTCCATGAGCTTTATCATAAATCATCTTAAAGCTATGTATGGTTCCTGCCTCCACTACCTCACTTGCTAGGCTATTCCACTTCCTGACTACTCTATGACTGAAGACATACTTCCTAACATCCCTCTGACTTATTTGGGTCTTCAACTTCCAATTGTGGCCCCTTGGTTCTGTGTCCCCTCTCTGGAACATCCTGGCTCTGTCCACCTTGTCTATTTCAGGCAGTATTTTGTATGTTGTTATCACGTCTCCCCTAACCCTTCTGTCTTCCAGTGTCGTCAGGCCAATTTCCCTTAACCTTTCTTCATAGGACATTCCCCTTAGCTCTGGAACTAACCTTGTCGCAAACCGTTGCACTTTCTCTAATTTCTTGACGTGCTTGATGGAGTGTGGGTTCCAAACAGGTGCTGCATACTCCAATATGGGCCTGACGTACACGGTGTACGGTGTCTTGAACGATTCCTTACTAAGGTATTGGAACACTATTCACAGATTTGCCCGGCGCCCATATGCTGCAGCAGTTATCTGGTTGATGTGTGCTTCCGGAGACATGCTCGGTGTTATAGTCACCTCAAGATCTTTTTCCTTGAGCGAGGTTTGCAGTCTTTGGCCACCTAGCCTATACTCTGTCTGCGGTCTTCTTTACCCTTCTCCGATCTTCATGACTTTGCATTTGGCAGGGTTGAATTCAAGAAGCCAGTTGCTGGACCACGTGTCCAGCCTGTCCAGGTCTCTTTGAAGTCCTGCCTGATCCTCATCTGATTTAATTCTCCTCATTAAACTCACATCATCTGCGAACAGGGATACCTCTGAGTCTATCCCTTCCATCATGTCATTCACATATACCGAAAATAGCACTGGCCCTAGAACTGACCCCTGTGGGACCCCGCTCGTGACAGGCACCCACTGTGATACCCTATAGTGGAGAAGGAAAACATGAGAACATGTAATTGACAGTTTGTATTATATTTATACTACAAAAAAATAAGAAATACTTGTAACATACCTTGTATAGTTTCTTGAAAGTGAGAATAAATAGGAGAGCGAGACACAGATTCAATTCGCTTTAGCTGCCGTGACGTAGAAACATACAGAACCTAAAAATGAAAATATAAATCACCATTGTTTCCACTTTCACTAAAATTATACATGAACATAAGATAAAAAAAAAAAACTATGCTTTGAAGAATAACAATTTTCTGCAAAAGGAATCATGTAGGTCCAGACTGAAATGCAATGGTCCAGTGTTAGACTTAACATGAAGGTTCTAGTGCCCCAAGTGTGAGAGGATGAAGGTACTTGGCTCCAATTCAGATATATAACAAAATTTAACAAAATGAAAGGCATCCTCAAATTAATTTAACTGTTATTAAATTATGTATCAATTCAAGTAATAATATGCACGAATAGATCAAGGAGTGGGTGGGTGTTGAACCCATATCTAAAACTGCCAAGCAACCCAAACCATACCCCCGGCCGGGATTGAACCCGCGGTCATAGAGTCTCAAAACTCCAGCCCGTCGCGTTAGCCACTAGACCAGCTAGCCACAATAAGATTCATCCAACTAGGTATATTTCTACACCATAGGAAGGTTAGCACAGGCACCTCTGTGACCACAAATGCAAGTTTTTACAGACGAATCTCCAGCTAGCGTGGCCGTGACGAACTCTAGCTCAAGTCCCTTCACTGCCGTCAACATGACTTAAGAAATCGTAATGACACGATAATCGTGTCATTACGATTTCTTAAGTCCTGCCAAGCAACACTCGCCACACCATGAAGACTACAATAAAATTTTTCCGACGAGGTAAAGTATATTTATACTCTAGAGCATAGGATGGGCCACCACAAACCACAGATGCATGATTCTATGGAAAAATATACTGCCAACATGACCAGAGATTAAATTTAATTCTTACCCCTTTCGTTCCACTATTGATGATTCATGAAAATGGCAATGAATGATTGTCAATAATTCAAGAGTGGGTAAGATTTGAACCCATGGCAAATGAACCCTAAAACTACTAAGTTAATGCTCACAGCCACTGGAACACGAAGGCTAAAATAAGATTCTCCTCATTAGGCATATTTGTAGACTTAAGAGAGGTTAGCATGGACCAACACTAACTACATATGTAAATTTACATAGCAACAAACTTGTAATTTATTAGCAAACATCAACATTTTATTTGGGTCTGTACTGTATAGGGAAATACTTAAAAAAAAAAAAAAAAGTTAGGCTGAAATTGAGATAGCAGGGGAAAAGTAAAAAAAAAAAAGTAGCAACACAGAAAAAAAAAGTAGCACACACACAAAAAAAAAATAGCACACCCGAAAAAAAAAAAAGTAGCACCACAGCAAAAAAAGTAGCACCACACTAAAAAAAGAGCACCACAGCTAAAAAAAAGTAGCACACACAGCTAAAAAAAATAGCACCAAAACAAAAAAAAAGTAGCACACCACTAAAAAAAGGCACACACAGCAAAAAAAAAAAGTAGCACACACAGCAAAAAAAAAATACCCACAACAGCAAAAAAAAAAAAAATTACACATTTCAAAAAAAGGGGTTGAAAAAAAAAAAACCCTCCTGAGTAAAAAAGAAAAAGGGGAGGTTGAAAAAAAAAAAAATTTTGGTAATTTAATTCAGCAAGAGTCCACTACTGTAATTTAAAAAAAAAAAAAAATAGTCCAAAAGGATGCGGAAAGGGCTTTCACTTCACAAACATCTGGTAAATAAAGGAAAGGATCAAAGAGGAGGGAAAAGTTTACAACCATTGTGAAATTTTTCAAAAATTTTTTGAAAGATTAAAAAATTTTCACAGGGTGTAAGATTAATAATGCCCTTTCATATTTTTAAGGTTAAAGGGAAAGTTTTGGAAAAGGAAACCAGAGATGATGTAAATTAATTTTAAAATATCGCTGGGTTCCCCCAAGATAGGGTGCACAAAATGAAGGAATTATTCTCACCCCACCTAGTGTCTTTCCAGAATGCCTGAAAACAACAAACACAACAAATGAATACCCCCAATGTAGAAAAAATAAAGGAAAAACTGACAGTTTTTTAAAGCAAACTTGCCATCATGGTAAATTATACTGAAAAATCTAAATCTTTTTTAAAGTACAATAATTATTTTTAAAAAACTAAAAATTATATTTAAAAGTCTCTCCGTCAATTATTGTACCTAACTTTAATACGAAATCATCAGCAAAATACCCCTTTTTGTATCTAAAAATATTACACCAATTTTTTTTTTAATTTGTTACATAAATTCAAACAAACTATCGACAATTACTTATAAAAAAATTTATAATTTGTACTTTACTAATTATTTAACCCAAATACATATCTAAAAATTTAAAAATTTTAAAAAACACAAATTGCTTACAATTTCAAAAATAAAAAAAAACAAATTTTTCCCATACCCATTAATTTCATGATTAACAAGAAACACCTTATAGACACTCAAACCTCCAAGTCCGATGAGCTTGGCAAAGCTGAAATTATCCACGACATTTTTACTGCTAATTTTTTTTTTTTTTCAGCAATCGGCAGTCTCCCACCGAGGCAGGGTGACCACAAAAAAAAGAAAGGACAATCCCCCATAAGAAAATGCTTTCACCTCATTCAACACTTTCACCACACTCACCACATAATCACTGTTTTATTTTGGCAGGGAGGTGCTCCAGAATACAACAGTTTAGAAGCTATACGAAAAAATACACAACATAATCCCACCCAAACTGCCAATATCCAAACCCCTCCATTTAAAGTGCAGGCATTGTACTTGCCATTCCCAGGACTCAAGTACCGACTATATGAAAAATAACCGGCTTTCCCTGAATCCCTTCACTAAATCTTACCCTGCTCACACTCCAACAGATCGTCAGGTCCCAAGTACCATTCTTTCCATTCACTCCTATCTAACAACGCTCACGCACGCATTGCTGGAAGTCCAGCCCTTGCCCACAATACCTCCTTTACCCCCTCTCACCAACCCTTTCGAGGACGACCCTTATCCTCGCCTTTCCTTCCCCTATAGATTAATATGCTTTCCCACGTCATTCCTACTTTGATCCATTCTCTATAAATGACTCAAACCACCTCATACAACCCCTCTTCCACCCTCTGACTAAAACTTGTATTAACTCCACACACCTTTCCTAAATCCACCACTTCCCAGAATTTTCTCTGCATAATATTTACACCACACTTGCCCTTAGACAGGACATCTCACTGCCTCCAACCGTCCGTCCGCAGCTGCATTTACCACCCAAGCTTCACATCCATATAAAGTGTTGGTACACTATACTTTCAATACACTTCCCTTCTTTGCCTCCATAATTAAAGTTTTTTGACTATTTCCCACATATACCTCAATGCACCACTCACTCATTTTTCCCCTCATCAATTCTAGATTAACCTCATCCTTCCATAAATCCATCCGCCAACACATCAACCACCAATATCTGAAAACATTCACTTCTTCCATACTCCTCTCTCCCCAATTTGATATCAATTTTTCTTTATCTAAATCATTTGATACCCATCATGTCAGCCTAACTCTTTTCTAGGTTTCACTTTCCACTTTCTAACCTTTACACACTTCCCAAATTCATCCACTACCCTTTGGCAAGTTTTCTTTAGAATCTCCCATAAAGCACAGTATCATCAGCAAAAAGTATTTTTGTTATTCCCATTTTGAATTTGATTCCTCATAATTTAATCCCACCCCTCTCCTGAACACCCACGCATTTTACTTTCTTTTACACGTCCATCTATAAAATATATTAAACAACCATGGTGCCATTACACATCCCTGTCCTAAGACCTACTTTTACCGGAAGTAGTCTCCCTCTCTTCTACATACACACCCTAACCTGAGCTCACTATCCTCATAAAAACTCTTTACAGCATTTAGTAACTTACCCACCATTCCATATCCTTGCAACTCTGCACAATTGCTCCTCTATCCTCTCTGAACATATGCCTTTTCTAAAATCCCATAAATGCAATAAAAACTTCCCCAACTAACCTTTATCTAAATTACTGTTCCCATATATGCTTCAATGTAAACACTTGATCTACACATCCCCAACCCCACTCTGAAACCTCCATGCTCATCCCAAGTCCTACATTCTGTCTTACCTCTAATTCTTTCAATTATAACGCCTATCGACCCCTTTTCCTGGTATACTCAATAAGACTTATTCCTTATAAATTTTATTTACAACCTCTTTTGGTCCCCTTTCCCTTTATACAAAGGGACTATACATGCTCTCTGCCACATCCCTAGGTACCTCCCCCTCTTTCAACATTTATTAACAAGAGTTAAAAAAAACCAACCACACCACACTATATCCCCCCCTGCTTTTAAAATTTCTGTCATGATCCATCATTCCAGCTGCTTTTACCCCCTTTGATGCTACGTAATGCCTCGCGTACCTCTCCCCCACACTTACATTCTGCTCTCTTCAATCCAAAGATGTATACCTCCCTGACCAGTGCATGAAATTACGTGCCTCCCTTTCTTCCCTCAACATTTAAAAGTTCCTCAAATATTCTTGCCATCTACCTAATCCTCCTCCTCCCAATCTACTAACTCCCCTACTCTGTTTTTTAACTGACAAATCCATTGTGTCCGCTAGGCTTTCCCATAACTTTTTTAACTCACTCCAAAATTTTTCTTATTTTCATTAAAATTTTCCTTGAGAAGTGCTCTCCACTCTATCACTCTCTCCTTTTTAGCGACTCTCACCACACTCTTCACCTTTCTTTAACTCTCCATATACTCTGCTCTTCTTATAACACTCTGCTTTGTAAAAACCTCTCATATCTAACTTTTTCTGCTTTTATCACACCCATACACTTCATCATTCCACCATCACTCCTACTTTCCACCTGCCCCCACCCTCCTATAACCACAAACTCTGCCCCACATTCTAATACTAACTGCATTTTTAAAACTATTCCAACCCTCTTCACCCCCCCCACTACTCATCTTTGCACTAGGCCCACCTTTCTGCCAATAGTCGCTTATATCTCCCCCGAACATCCTCCTCCCTTAGTTTATACACTTTCACCTCCCTCTTACTTGTTGTTGCCACCTTCCTCTTTTCCCATCTACCTCTTACTCTAACTGTAGCTACAACTAAATAATGATCCGATATATCATTGCCCCTCTATAAACATGTACATCCTGGAGCCTACCCATCAACCTTTTATCCACCAATACATAATCTAACAAACTACTTTCACTACGTGCTACATCATACCTTGTATATTTATTTATCCTCTTTTTCATAAAATATGTATTACTTATTACCAAATCTCTTTCTACACATAGCTCAATTAAAGGGTCCCCATTTACATTTACCCCTGGCACCCCAAATTTACCTACTACTCCCTCCATAACATTTTTACCCACTTTAGCATTGAAATCCCCAACCACCATTGCTCTCACACTTGATTCAAAACTCCCCACACATTCACTCAACATTTCCCAAAATCTCTCTCTCTCCTCTACACTTCTTTCTTCTCCAGGTGCATACACACTTACTATAACCCACTTTTCACATGCAATCTTTATTTTACTCCACATAATCTTTGAATTAATACATTTATAGTCCCTCTTTTCCTGCTATAGCTTATCTTTCAACATTATTGCTACTCCTTTAGCTCTAACTCTATTTGAAACCCCTGACCTAATCCCATTTATTCCTCTCCACTGAAACTCTCCCACCCCCTTCAGCTTTGTTTCACTTAAAGCCAGGACATCCAGCTTCTTCTCATTCATAACATCCACAATCATCTCTTTCTTATCATTTGCACAACTTCCACACATATTCAGACTTCCCACTTTGACAATTTTCTTCTTCTTATTCTTTTTAGTAATCTTTACAGGAAAAGGGGTTACTAGCCCATTGTTCCCGGCATTTTAGTTGACTTTTACAACACGCATGGCTTACGGAGGAAAGATTCTTATTCCACTTCCCCATGGATATAAAAGGAAAAGTAATAAGACCAAGAACTATTAAGATAAAATCAAAGAAAACTCAGATGAGTGTGTATAAATAAACGTGTACATGTATGTGTAGTGTGACCTAAGTGTAAGTAGAAGTAGCAAGACATACCTGTAATCTTGCATATTTATGAGACAGACAAAAGACACCAGCAATCCTACCATCATGTAAAACAATTACAGGCTTTTGCTTTACATTCACTTGGGAGGACGGTAGTACCTCCCTGGGTGGTTGCTGTCTACCAACCTACTACCTTTGATTATTCAAAAGTTTTTCATGGTGCATAACCCCTATATTAAAACTCATCATTGGATATTCAAAAGTTGCTTATTGGGTTTCCCTTAAGAAAATTTCTATTTATTCTGATTATTAATATTAATCAGATTAGAGTGATATTTAAAGATAAACACAAAAGGAAACTTTGAGGAATGTAAACATCATATTCTTTCTTCTATAACTATGTGAGGTCAACAAGTCTAGGGACTAGGAGGGAAAAGTGAGAGTTTATAAACTACTGAAGGCCAAGAATGTATAGTTTCATAGCAGTTTTTTGTAAAAATGGCATCAAATGAGATCCAAATTGGATCAATTTTTTTTTACACCAATGATAAAAACAAGCTTTATTTCATAATTTTGTAAAAATTAAAAAAGGAGCAGAGACTCTTCTTACTTGTACAAAGTAGTATATGATCATTGTGGGGATCAAGACCACGATGAATATTGGAGTGGCAGCGACGATCACCACAAACGTTGCCAAAACCTAAAGTGTATGCCAAAGAAAAACTTATTAAAATTTTTGAAAAAATTATGCAGATGTATAATTTAGCCTATGATATTGTACCTTATGATACACTTGAAATTTTGAATACATTATTTTTTTTTTTTTGGCCTCTCCCAAATATGAAATTATATTTTATTACAAATAACTTGAGAGATCAGAGAAAAATATTAACAAATAACAATAACATTTAAAGAAAAATAATTAACTTAGTTTTACTATTGGCTACAAAATAAAATTATATCCTTTAGATTTAAAAGTTAATAATCTCAGATTAAAATTCATATTTTCTGGCTTCATGAGAGATATTGACCATGACTTCACAAGGATGTCATCTTGTGATTTTCCAGTGAAGATCAACAGACAACTGTTGAGAAAACAATCTGCAATGACAGGATGAGATGAAAACTATTTATGGCAAGATGCACAGCAATGGCAAACTAGTTTGCATAGAATTAGATGAACTACTCAGGAATGTATCTCCTCTAGTTTTACCTCTCCTTAGCCAGTTTTCAACCTCAGTATGCCTTTTGCCTTCCTTTTTATAGTACAAACATGCAATATTCAAATCTGAAAGTTTATATCATTTTTGATGCAGGAAAAGCTTGTATTATGACAAGATCTGTTCACTAAGAAATATCTGTAGCAGAGGCGTCGCTAGGGTTGGTATCACCCGGGGAGGAATCTTTGGTGTCACCCCCATGAAATTCAAGGGGGGGGGGCTCCAGTTATGTCACTACCGCATGACCAGTGACTAATGTTTAATAATGAGAACGTTTAAGGGCCATAAACCGAACAGGAGAATACTTCTCAATATAATTAATGATAAAATAAATAATCGTAGTAATACTGAGGAAACAAACTCAAATATCACTGAGTACAGCAACAGATCCTACATTTATTCGTCTTCAACAATGCCTCCCCCCCCCAAAAAAAATAAAAAAAAAATAAAGAAAAACATTGCAATATCAGAGAAACACTAGTTCTGATTTGACCTTGAGTTCAGGTAACAGCTCAGTGAATCTGATCTTACATTTCCTTGCCTTCAATCCTGCAAAATCATCTATCACATCAAAATCAATTATTTTCCCTATATAGGCCTATATAGACTATATAGAAATGAAGGATTCTTCTCTTATGTTGGTGCAGCACTGTTTTGTGCATTAGTGTCACCTTTAGAGGCTCTATGGTGTCACCTGGGGCACCCCCCCCCTTATGATGCCTCTGATCTGTAGCTATCCTCTTCAACCAGTCTTGCAAAGCATGTAGGTCTGCAATATACCCTAATAACAGCCCAGGTACAGTCTTGTAGAGAGACTTCAAACTTTCATCGAAAGCTTGTGACTTTTTTTCGTGCTGATAAATAAACAAGAGATGTTAATCTCCCAGATGATGAGGCCTGCCTGCTGAGGCAGCCAAAGTATGCAGTACAGTTACTGAAAGTAAACAGGGCTCCACTGCTTGGAAAAAATAAAATGTGGAAGGAAGCATAATGAGCTAAAAGTGGTAGAATCTTACCCATGGAGTCAAAAAGGGGAATGTACCAGAGTATACCAGTGAAAGTGTTTCTTCTTTTTCTTGGCAGTTTACCTCAATGGGAGACAGCTGGTGTGTTAAAAAAAAGTTTGAAACTGGCTCGAGAAGACAAAACTATTGATATTTTACCTCCTATAAGATTAAAGTTTATTTACGATGAACTGAAACATTAACCGAAGTTTCCTCTCGGAATTGGTTTAACAATAATTAGAGGAACTGTAATATAGGCATAGCTTATTAATACCCAAATACACAAATTTTATCCATACTAATAAATTATTATCTAACCTACCCACATGATTCTAAGCCCTTCTCCAAAAGCCGTTAAGAGGATATGATTATTTGTTAAAATTTTGCTGCAGCCAAGACAAAATCCAATTTTATGGCAAGCCAAAATGGGAGAGATCTCTAAGGATATGATTTTTATATTAAAAAAAAAAAAAAAAAAAAAAAAAGACTAATAAAAAAATACCAGTACTTTGAAATTTAAAGTGTTATTTCATCTCAGACAAGAACTAAATAAAACCACTGATAAATAAAATGGGATCTAGCACCGAATGAAGCTTTGAAAGCCCATCTAAACACCTTAGCTAACACTTTGATATGTGTACAACACCAATTTTACTGTAACCTTGGTTCCTATGCTTTGCCAGTATATATCAATTTTACCTGACCAACCAATAATGACTAAACAATACACCTCTGGCCCATCATGGTCTGCTGGAAACTTATATTAAACATCAGCATAAATAAAACAGGTTTACTTATTACTTTATTTACAAAGAATGCTGCAGTACTATCAATCCCTAAGTGGAAAAATTTAGAATTTTACGAGAGCTGCAGAGCTAATCACTAGCCATAGCTTGGGCTCTTTGTTAACAAAATATGCTAAGAATTGCACAGAATCACAGATAACCACCAGTATAAACAATATAAGTGAGGATACACTACATATAATGCCATCTGTGGCCTCCAAGTAAAGTGTTTTAGCAAAAGAGTAGTCTTGTAATTTTGTCTGGAATAAAAGAGGTGCAAGATGATCCAGTGGCAGTAAATCAGTGTTGTACCTGAATAATATATGCAGCTTTATATTAAGTGAAATGGAATGTACAAAGTGCATTTAACTATCACATTTTTATTCTCACATTACAGGAAGTCACAGTGAAAAACTAAGGATTCATATTACAATAGGCTGAAAGGTTAAAACAGATATATATCTGCTAAGACTAATCAACCTAGCAAGAAAGTTCTGATCTACCCAATGGCCCATTAAGTCAATTTTTTTTTAACACATCGGTTGTCTCCCACTGAGGCAGGGTGACCTAAAAAGAAAGAAAATCCCCAAAAAGAAAATACTTTCACCATCATTCAACACTTTCACCTCACTCATACATAATCACTGTCTATGCAGAGGCGCTCAGATACGACAGTTCAAAAGTCCCTCCAAACTGTCAATATCCCAAACCCCTCCTTTAACCCTTAACCCTTTGAGGGTCGACAGGCCCTCTCCGAAACTCGTTCTCAGGGTCGGCCAAATTTAAAAAAAAAAAAAATTATTTTCTCTTATGAAAAGATAGAGAATCTTTTCCCGATCATAAAGACACCAAAAGTTTGAAATTTGATAGAAAACTTACGGAATTATGCTCTCGCAAAGTTAGCGGTCTCGGCGATGTTTACGCATCGGCGATTTTAGCCCACTTTGAGCCCCATTTTCGGCCAATTTCCACTGTACTAGTCGACAAAAAACATGAATATTTCGCTAGAATACTCCATTTTTTCTATCGAATGGGTGCAAAACCCACCCATTTTAAATTCAACTATCCAGTACAGTGGTCAGAATTTAGCAATTTGCCAATTTCACACAAATTTCAAAAGATGCCAATTTCCGAATAGGGTCCAGAATAAACAAGAAAGACATTCCTGGCACTAAAATGACATATCCTCAAGTCATTAGTCACGTCTCAAGCCCTCTTATATTCTTTTGCTTTCCACTTTGAATTTTTATTCTCACAAAAAATATAAGATTTACTGTTATGCAGACTACTGCATTAGTGTAAAAAATGGTATAAATATTATTGGTGCACTTGTGAAAGAATATTAGACTCACCAGTTGACCTGTATTGCAACGCTTGGCACGATTTGTTACTTTTGAAGTTTGGTAAAAATCGAACATTTCTGCTACTTTGAGCTCAATTTCAAGGCACCTTTCATTGTAAAACCAGTCAAAATCATCTCAATTTCTATAATATGTCTTCCATTCTATAAAATGAGACCAAGAAAACTAGAATACAACAATAAATACCATACGAAAATACACTGCAAAGTCGCTGATTTATTAAAAAAAAATGGTCAAAGTTTTTTTTTTCTCATTATGCACTGTGTGCTGCAGGATTTTTTTTAGACTGTGCACACTGACCACATAGACCCATTCTTTCATATGAAGGCCTACCAGCTTTCTCCCACAAGATTTGAGGCCGCTAGAATTTATGAGTACTAGTACGTCAAAAACCCCTACGCGTAAGACGTACTAGTACGACCAAAACCCTCAAAGGGTTAAACTGTCCAAACGTAGATCTACATTTTTTCAACATTTGAAAGTATGTAAAAAAATGTAGATCATCTTTTTTTTTTTACATTTGAAAACGTGTACAAAAAACTTTCATCTACTTTTTTTGTTATATTTGAAAATATGTATAAAAATGTAGATCTACTTTTGGAGCACTACGCACGTGAACATAGATCTGTTTGGACAGTTTAAGGGTTAAAGTGCAGGAATTGTATTTCCCATTTCCAGAACTCAAGTCCGACTAACCGGTTTCCCTGAATCCCTTCACAAAATATTACCCTCACTCATACACAATCACTGTCTTTGCAGAGGTGCTCAGATACGACAGTTCAGAAGTCCCTCCAAACTCTCACTATCCCAAACCCCTCCTTTCAAGTGCAGGAACTGTACTACCCATTTCCAGAACTCAAGTCTGGGTAACCGGTTTCCCTGAATCCCTTCACAAAATATTACCCTGCTCACACTCCAACAGCCCGTCAGGTCCCAAAAACCATTCGTCTCCATTCACTCCTATCATGCTTGCTGGAAGTCCAAGCCCCTCGCCCACAAAACCTTTACCCCCTCTCTCCAACCTTTTTGAGGATGTCCCCTACCCCGCCTTCCTTCCCCTACAGATTTATATGCTCTCCAAGTCATTCTACTTTGATCCATTCTCTCTAAATGACCAAACAACCTTAACAACCCCTCTTCAGCCCTCTGACTAATACTTTTAGTAACTTCACACCTACTCCTAATTTCCACACTCCGAATTCTCTGCATAATATTTAAACCACACACTGCCCTTACATAGGGCATCTCCACTGCTTCCAGCCGCCTCCTCACTGCAGCATTTGCAACCTAAGCTTATTTATTTATTTATTTATTTAGTAATTTAGCATAC